TCTTTTTCTCAGTTAAGTGAGAGAGCTATTAACCTCTGCCCTAAAAAAAATAATAGCCAGCGAAGTCATAGCGGTAGTAGACATTCCGGGGGAGTGGATGAGTTTGATGGAATGGAGGCACAACTTCAGAAAAGTGGCGTTGTTGTAGTGAAGCCAGAACCAGTCGATGATGATGAGAGTATGTGCCAGTACTCTAAGGAGCATTGGTATGTTGGCGGGGAGACGGGAAGACAGGATGGAGAAGATAATGCAGAGAGAATTGGATCTAATGAGACTTTGATTAAGAGGAGGCTTAAAGAAGAAAATTCAGCTTCTTGGGATTATTAAAAGCAATATACATCTTTGATACCTAATTTGGAATTTCATCATTGTGTCGAAAGAATTTAAAAAAAGACGAAAAAAAGACCGAAAAGGGGAAGAACATTTTTAATTCATTTCTCCTTTATGAATAATGGTTTGACTGCAACTTTATTATCCATTAGCTGTCTGACCTAAACTTTGATGTTGATAACTAATCAGCAAAAGGGTTCTAAACCTTTTACTAATCACGTCTTCTTGAGAAAGCTGCTTATAAAGTACATTAAATTTTGAGTTGAAATTCACCTAATGATTATACAATCAAACTGTGCCAAAGCAAAAGTTGTAAAAAAAAGACTTCCGTAATCAGTAGTTATGTTTATATAAATAAACTTTACATATATTAATATTTAATATCAAATCAGTAATAATATAAACACAACTATTTGTAAGCTAATGTGTGAATCATAATCGAGTTACCACTGAAAGAGTACATCTTGAATACAATAATATATGTAATTTGTAAGTGATTATTAGGTGTCAGTTCTCATTGTTATTCTTGATTACCATGTTACATTATACAACTAAATCTATAACATGATGAACAATCGTGACTAGAATAGTCTACTTAATAATACAACTCAGCTCAGGCTAGTGTTATTTGCTTTAGACAGGTACAGACCAGTTTAGACTTGCACAGTAAGGATAATCACACCAATTAATAGAATTATAGGTGATTCTAATTAGTTAAACTAAAAAATAGATTAATTGCTGGTTGTGTACGTTATCAGTGCTATATTCCAGCATATCAACCATAGATGGCGCTATCCATTTTTATGTCTCCAAATTCTATATTGTTTCATACTGTCATTTATTTGTATGATGAAATGTCCATTCAAAGACATATATGAAGCTCCAATTCAAAAGCCCTTACAAGTAGTGATATATTATTCACTTCATATTGTATTGTGCGATCTGTTATACTGGCATAGTTGCATCCTCATGACCTCTGACACCAACTGAAACTAAACCCTAGAATTTAAAACCTGCATGTATTTTATAACTGTTTACATGGAAAAATAAGTGATGCTTATTTTTTTGTGATAACTAAATATATAACTTTATCATAGTTGCCGAGTTTGTGCTAGTTAATTTGCAATCTTCTGCAGCTATGAAGTCAACTTGTATAGCTTGAATCCCTAGTTTTGAAGTCACAATACTAAATAACATGACATTGTGGAATTAAAGTGCATGAAGGAATAGAATATTCCATTGTCTTTTTAGTCTGGGGTGCCAGTTGCCAGTAACTATCCTTTTATAAAATTATTGTGTCCTTGTTTTGCATTGGAGATGAAAATTCAAACCGAATATGTCAAACTTTTATCCGTGCTACACTGTAGTATTTTATTTCAATGTGCTGAAATACAAATACTAAACATGAAGAGTATTTTCGTTTTTTATAAGTTTACATTTATATGTTGAGATATTCTATTGTAGCTGCCAAATATTTTATAGAAATTATAATGCATTTATAGAACACTGCCATTTATACTAAAATGTTGATATTCAAAATGTTTTATATTATATATCCAATTCTTCCATAACTTCAAATGTTAGTGATGAAGTCTGTTATTCTATGTTACTCTCAGTAATGAGGGAATTATGGGCTGTTATTAAACTGGGGTTACTGCTTGTGTCAAATTCCTGAAATATATCTGTGCAACATCTGTATGGTTTTGTTAGTTTTCACAGAATTTGCTGCCACAATATTAATTTTGAAAAAAAAACAATCTTTGTTTTCCTCATGTCAATAATTAATGAGAATGTCTGTTTAGGGATAGTTTTTTTCTAGAATTTAGAAAAAAATTAGTTATTCTTCTGATCCCAAATGTAGGTAAATTTACCTAGAATGTTATGATAATTTAGGTTTAGGATTATTCTTAAGACTAGTGATTGCAGCTAAAGTTCTCAACATGTACTTTGATATCATACTATCAATAACATTGAAATCCAGAATCAGGATATTGTCTTGTTTTACCAAGGTTGGTCTAATTACAAAACGGTTGGTAGTGTGACAGTATTCAACACTCTCATCTGTAAATGGTATTTGTTTAAACAATACTGAATTCCCACAGCAGCATATTGAATGAGAAGAGTCTATTGCAAGATAATCTGTGACACCCTTCTTCAAAATCAGTATGACACTGGGGGAGACACATTATTGTTATAAACTACTACTACAGATATCAAACAAATTAGTTAAGTTTTGGCTTTTAGTTGAAATGAATTTACTTGTCAAAAGAAGTTTACATTATTGTGTAATAATGTAAAGCTGTGACATTATAGAAGCCTCTAATTCTGATAATAGTGATTACCTAGTTCAACTGAATGTATGTAGATGTATTTTTAATGTGGAAGGTGAGATTTTTATTGAATATACAGAACACTGCCAAATGTAAATACCGTGACATGTGCAGTATAAATGTTTTTAAGTACTTTATATTGTATCATTTTAATGAGAAGAAAAATGTCTGTTGGTTTAAACAAATTATCTATGCAGTAAAAAACAAATTTTTAATTTTTCTTTTTATTTTATGTTTTGTATGTCTACAGCAAAAAGTTGATTTGTACCTAATCACGTTAG